TGCCTCCTAGCACAGTGTCCTATACAAAATAGGCAATCAACATTTGGTGAACTCATTTTTTCTTATAGTAGACATCGAAGGTAAAATTAAAAATAAAAGTTTGGGGCTGGCTGATTAGCTCAGTTGGTTAGAGCTTGGTGTTAGAACACTAAGGTCAAGGGTTCCCATACCAGCCACCTGTAAAAATAAATAAAAGTTTGATAGAATGTCATCTAGAAATGTAGATGAAATAATAGAGTTAGAAAAACCATCATTTTGCAACCATCAGAGTATTAATTAATTCAGGCAAGAATTAATAAAAGCTAAAATGACTGGGTGAAATTCTGAGAAGGAACAGGCTATTTACATAGTCTAAAAGTATTTCCCCACAAACGAGGTATTCATCACAATCAGAAAAATAGTAACTTAAAAAGGCCAGCCCGTGGCTCACTCGGTAGAGTGCGGTGCTGATAACACCAAGGCCACGGGTTCGGATCCTATATAGGGATGGCTGGTTTGCTCACTGGCTGAGCGTGGTGCTGACAACACCAAGCCAAGGGTTGAGATCCCCTTACCGGTCATCTTTTTAAAAAAAAAAAAGAAAAGCAAGCTTTAGGACAAGAATATTACCAGAGATCAAGATACACATTTCATGGTGATAAAAGGGCAAATTCACCAAGAATTAACATTTTTAAATGTATATGCATCTACCAACAGCTTCAAAATTCATGGAGAAAAAATTAAAAGGATAAAAAGAAAAATCCACAATTACAGTTGGAAATTAACACTTGCCCACCTTTCAGTAACTAAGAAAAACAGATGGAAAAACAGTAATCCAGATTAACATTATTAACCAACTTGACCTCACTTCATAGAATGAGTACTACATCTAACTGTAGAATACATATTCCTTTTAAAAGCACTCACTCACCAAGAAAGATCATATCAGAACCATAACATAAATCTCAATAAATGTAAATGTACTGTAATCATAGTATGATTTTTGACAACAATACATGAGAAGTCAATAACAAAAAAGATAGGTAGAACATCCCCAAATATTTGGGAACTAAGCAATATACTTCTGCATATTCCATGGGTCAAAGAAGAAGTCACAGTAGAAATTAGAAAATATTTTGAGCAATCTATCAAAATTCACGGGAGTTAACCAGTATTGGAGAAAATGTACAGCTCTAAATGTTTATATTAGAAACTAGAAAGGTATATTAGTAATGACCTTTTCATTCTCTGTACCAGCCAACTGCCAAAAAACAAAAACAAAATTGATTGAGTTTCCACTTAAAGAGATAAAAGCAAAATTAAACAAAGTAAACAGAAGGAAATTAAGATACAAGCAGAAATCAATAAAAGGGAAAAAAGATGTACAATGGATGTAATCAAAGCCAACAGTTGTTTTTTTAAAAGATTTAATACTAAGGGCCGGCCCTGTGGCGCACTCGGGAGAGTGCAGGGCTGGGAGCGCAGCAACGCTCCCGCCGCGGGTTCGGATCCTGTATGGGACTGGCCGGTGCGCTCACTGGCTGAGCGCGGTGCGGGTGACACCACACCAAGGGTTGTGATCCCCTTACTGGTCACGAAAAAGACAAAAAAAAAAAAAAAAAAAAAAAGATTTAATACTAAATCTCTACGTACAATGACCAACGGGGGAAAAAAAGAGAGAAAAACACAAATTACCAATACCAGGAACAAAAGAGGAATATCATTACAGATACCATAAGCATTAAGGGAATAATAAAAAAAAAAACCCTATGAACTATTTTATGCCAAAAAATTTAATAATTCAGATGAAATGGAAAAATCCCTTGAAAAACCGACAATCTGTTTAGTAAATGCATACACATTTAGGAATGTTACGTCCTCTTGATGAACTGACCCTTTTCAAAATATAAAATAAGGTATATGAATAGCCCTATATAATTAAATTCTTCTCCCAGAGAAACAGATATAATATGTAACAGATGTAATTAAAAACCTTCCCTAGGGCCGGCCCGGTGGCGCACTACTGTGCACCGCTTGGGAGCGCAGCAGCACTCCCGCCGAGGGTTCAGATCCCACATACAGACCGGTTCCCGCTCACTGGCTGAGCGAGGTGCAGGTGCAACACTGAGGGTTGCGATCCCGTTGCTGGTCCCGGTCCAGTACGGGCGCGACACTGAGGGTTGTGATCCGTTGCCGGACACGAAAAAAGACAAAAAAAAAGGAAAAAAAAACCTTCCCTAAAAGAAATTAAATGGCTTCACTGGTGCATACTATTAAACACAAAGAAATAATACCAATCCTACACAAACTCAAAAACAGAAGAGGACAGCATTAACTTGATACCAAAACCAGGTAAAATATTTCTACAGAGCAATACCCCTAATAAACATGGACATAAAAATACTCAACAAAATATTAGCAAATATAATCCTGCGATATACAACAAATTAATGATACATCATGACAGATGGGGTTTATTCCTAGAATATAACTTCATAATGAAATTTAAAATAAAAAAATAATATTAACAGAGGGACCAGTTTTACTTCCATTGATTACAATGCAGCCTTATAAACCCCAAAGTCACAGGTTTGGATCCTGGCACTGGCTAGCCGCCAGGGGGAAAAAAAAAGAACATTAATGGAACAAGAAAAAAACTGTATCTTTAATACAAATGCCAAGAAAATTTTGACAAGATAAATTTTTAACACACATCATGATGTTAAAAAAAAACTTGGAAACGAGGAATAGAAGGAAGCTTCTTTAATTTGACAAAGGGCATTCTCAAAACACCTACAGCCAACATCATACTTAGGAAAGATCTAGAAAATTAAGATGTCCACTCTCATCACCACTTTTTTTCCATCACCACTTTTCTTTAACATTGTAGAGGAGGTCTTAGAAAACACAATTTTAAATGAAAAACTGCCATTTGCAACAACATGGGTGGACCTAGGGAGAATTATATTAAGTGAAACGAGCCAGGCACAGAAAGAGAAATGTCACATGTTCTCACTTATTTGTGGGAGCTAAAAATAAATAAATAAATACACAAATAAACTGGGAGGGGGTAGGGAAGAAGACACAACAATTACAATTCCTTGAAGTTGATAGGACAAGTTAACAGATACCAGGTTGTGGGGAGGGAGGGGGGGAGGGATGAGGGAGGGAGGTTTCGGTAATGGACCACAATAATCAACCACATTGCATATTGACAAAATAAAATTAAATTTAAAAAAAAACCCCACAATTTTAAAAGAGATAAAAGGTATAGACTGGAAAGGAGGAAGTAAGGCAGATGACATGACTGCTTAGAAAATCTTAAGAAATCTACAAAAAAAAAAAAAAAACAACTCAGAAAACAAGTGACTGTAGCAAGGCTGTAGGATACCAGATCAATATACAAAAATCAATTTTATGTATTTCTATATACAACACAAGTTTATGCATAGTTTTAAAAATGTTCACAATAGTATCAAAAACAGGGATAAATTACTTAAAACTACGAAACACTGCTAAGAGAAAATTAAAGACGACATAAATATATGGAGATAAATATTTTTATAAATGTCATAGGGAAATGTATTCACGCATTATTTGCGTAATTAAAATAACTAAAAATAAATAAAATCTGGGGGGGCTGGCCGGTTAGCTCAGTTAGCTAGAGCGGGATGTTACAACACCAAGGTCAAGGGTTCGGATCCCCGAACCAGCCAACCGCCAAAAAAAAAAAAAAAAAGTTAAAAATGAAACAAAACTAAATAGATAAATTCTTACAAAGAAAACGAGACAGAGAAAATGGATTGACATAATCGCTTTTGTAAAGAAATCTTGTTTCGACTCCACTTAATGGCAGCAAAAACTGTGCTTGAGTCACTACTAGCGCATAGATAAAAATCCTGCTTTTTCATTAGCTACCAACAAATTTACAAATTATATAGTAGCTTTTACAAGTGAGTCCAAAAGATTATAGGCTAGACCTTGGCAGGGCACAAAGTCTTCAACAAGTCGTTAGCAATAAAGTAAAACCTTAATCAGAATATTTCTTTCCTCTGTAGTAATTTTGGGTTAAGCCCTCACCGCTAGATTTTGAGTTCTCAGAGGATGGCCCATGGGGCATTGCTGAATGTAGTCTGACGTCAGAACACCCGAAGTCAAGTTCAAGTACAAATCAACTAAGTTTCAGGCTACAAAGGACTAAAGATTACCAAAATGCTTAAGAAATGCGACACTTCACACACAGTGGGCACTAAATAATCTTTGGAGTGCATTGTGCTTAGAGCTTACTTTAACAGGCACTAAGGTGGGGGAGGCGGACAACACGTGGAACCGAAGGAATCTCAGTCATCTGAGTTCCAGTTCCCCCAGCCCGGCTCAGAAGGGGCTTCCTGTAAGGTTCCCGGACCTAAGGCTTCGGGTAGTAGGTGCCGAAGGGTCACAGCCTCTGGGGAGGGCCACGTCCACAACGCACGTGGGAAACGGCCAAAGTTTGGGGCATTTGGGTTAATCACGACAATGATAATCGCCACCGTCTACTCCGAGCCAAGCCGAGTGCTATGCTTAGCATCTACGTCTAAGTCTACACCACCGTGCAGGGTTGCCGGTTCCGCCACGTACAGATAAGAGTCCGAGTTCTGAGGCGGGGCTCGCCCAAGTCACACGAGACTCAGGACTCGGCTCTTGCCGCGCCGCCTCAGCCGCGCAAAGTCGACGCCCTTGGCCCGGGGGCTCGGGCGCCCGGGACAGGCAACTCCCGTGCAGCGCCCTGTCCACCTTCCCCCACGCACTTCCCTGACGACGACCGGGGCCTGGCAGGTCTCCAGACCTCATCTCCGCGTCGGCCAAACTCCCTAACAAGTGTCTCCGCGGCATCCCGGACGGCTCGCCACTCTCTCCGGAGTCGGGCGTCGAGCCGAGATTCGCACCCCGGCCCCCGCCCCGGTGCTCACCTGCACCACGCAGCAACCCAGGGTATCCTGAACGTCTGGAGGGACGATGTTCCGGGGCGAAAGGCCCGGGTGCAAGAAGTGGACCATGGCGACCCCCGCCCGCGAGGTATTTAGAAGACAGCGGGCGTCGAGCGGGAGCCCGCCGAGCCCCCCCCCGCCCCCACCCCGAGACTGAGGCCGCCCCACCAGTCACCCAACTCCTACGCACCCCTCTGAGACCAGCCTCCCTCAGACTCCTTCCTACCTCAGGGCTTGTCGCACATACCTGACGCTCCTCAGCGGCCTTCTCGTGGACCAGCTCTGTGGAGTTGAAGAACAGTGTTAAAAAGTGTTTTCAGGGGCCGGCCCGTGGCTCACTTGGTAGAGTGCGGTGCTAATAACACCAAGACCCCGGGTTCGGATCCCACATACGGATGGCCGGTTCGCTCACTGGCTGAGCATGGTGCTGACAACACCAAGTCAAGGGTTAAGATCCCCTTACCGGTCATCTTTAAAAAAAAAAAAAAAGAAAAAGTGTTTTCAGAGACCGTGTCCCTGAAGGCCTGGCAACAGCACCTCTCACATAACAGTCCTCTCTTGAGACAGGATAAATCATAACTCCTTGAGACATTGGATAAATCAAGTATCAGAACCACTTCTGCGGGCCGGCCTGTGGCTCACTCGGTAGAGTGTGGTGCTGATAACACCAAGGCCGCGGGTTGGGATCCTATATAGGGATGGCCGGTTTGCTCACTGGCTGAGCGTGGTGCTGACAACACCAAGCCAAGGGTTGGGATCCCCTTCCCGGTCTTTTTTTTTTAAAAAAAAAAAAAAAAAAAAACCCCTTTTCCCCTTGAAAGAAAAAAAAAAAAAAAAAAAACCCCTTTTCCCCTTGAAAGAAAAAAAAAAAAAAAAAAAACCCCTTTTCCCCTTGAAAGAAAAAAAAAAAAAAAAAAAACCCCTTTTCCCCTTGAAAGAAAAAAAAAAAAAAAAAAAACCCCTTCCCCCCTTTAAAAAAAAAAAAAAAAAAAAAGAACCACTTCTGCCCTTGTAAGTACACAAAACGAAAACGAAACATGGACGAGTATCCAGGGGGGAAAAAAACTACTCTGCTTTCTTTTTACCTAAAAGTACCAAGAAGACACTTATAACCTGCTCCAAGAAAGAAGACCAGTAAATTAGTACACTTTAGCTAATTTAAGAGAAAATATGGACATAGGAAATATAGGAAAGGAAAGATCTCAGAGTATAAACCTCGGAGTTTGAATCCTGAGTTGGAAGACCGGCTTAGCCATCTACTGACTTGTGAACCCCAGGCATGATTCTTGATTTATCTCACCAGGTTAACGTAAGTATTAAATAAGGCAATGTATTGGCACATAACAAGCCCTTAATAAATAGACTCGAGTGTTAAAATTATCTTTCAAGTAGGAATAACTTTGCAATATGCTTTCCTTTCACTGTTTTTTGTTGTTGTTGTTGTTTTAATTTAAACCTCTTACTAAAAAAAAAGAAGCCTGCGCAGTGTCAACCACATTTATTTTACCCACATGGAAGCTGGAGAACTGAGAGATTAAATAGACAAATTTTACTCAGCTGGTGAGTGGCCAACCTGGGAGTCAAAATCGAATTTTCTAACTCCATGTACAATCGATACACTTTTTGTTTTATTTATTTATTTTTCTTTTTTCTTTTCTTTTTTTTTTTTTTTTCAAGATGACCGGTAAGGGGATCTTAACCCTTGACTTGGTGTTGTCAGCACCACGCTCAGCCAGTGAGGGAACCGGCCATCCCTATATAGGATCCGAACCCGTGGCCTTGGTGTTATCAGCACCACACTCTCCCGAGTGAGCCATGGGCCGGCCCTTACACTTTTTGTTTTAAAGTGTGCAATTCCGTATCTTATCTATCCTCAAATTTCTAACACCTCCTCCCCCTTCCACACTCTCACCTTCCTCTTTCACCGAGAAAAGCAATCAAAAAAGGACATCCCAACCTCCACCACATCTACTCACCTACCTGTATACACTCTCTGCTTTTTGTTCACTCCTCTTGCTATGAACTGTTTATACTTGTATCTAAGGCCAACTCCGGAACTTGTACCCTAGGTCCCATCCACTGTTGCTTACTCAAAGACATCATCCAGCAAAGTCCTTTCTCCTGCATTATTAATTTTTTCCTCTTTCTTCGATCATTTCCATCAGCATATAAATAAGTTGATACTTCTCCCATAATTAAAAATAAGAAATAACTCTTCTGACCCAATTTCTCTCTGCAGGTATTTCCTGCATATCTCTTCTCCCCCTTACAGTGAAACTTCTCCAAAATGTGGTCTGTACTTTCTGTCTTCAGTTCTTCTACCATTTTGTCTTTCACCCCTGCAACTCCACTAAACCATTGTCTTTAATTTCCAATTTGCCAAATTCAATGGTCCCTTCTTATTCCTCTTCTTATTTGACTTGGTGATCATTTCTATTTATTTATTTATTTATTTTATTATTATTATTTTTTTTTTTTCCTTTTTGTCTTTTTTCGTGACCGGCAACGGATCGCAACCCTCAGTGTCACGCCCGTACCGGACCGGGACCGGCAACGGGATCGCAATCCTCGGTGTTGCACCCACACCTCGCTTAGCCAGTGAGCGGCCGGTCTGTATGTGGGATCCGAACCCTCGGGGGAGCGCCGCCACACTCCCAAGCGGTGCACTGTAGCAGTGCGCCACCGGGCCGGCCCTATTATTATTATTTTTTAAAGATGACCGGTAAGGGGATCTTAACCCTTGACTTGGTGTTGTCAGCACTACGCTCAGCCAGTGAGCGAACCGGCCATCCCTATATAGGATCTGAACCCGTGGACTTGGTGTTATCAGCACCACACTCTACCGAGTGAGCCACGGGCCGGCCCCTTATTTATTTATTTTTGGCAGGTGGTCAGTATGGGGATCCAAACCCTTGACCTTGGTGCTATCAGCACTGCACTCTAACCAAGAGAACTAACTGGCCTGCCCTTATAAAAATATTTATTTATTTATTTTTGGATGATCATTTCTTCTTCCCTAAAATCTTTGATCCCTTGGCTTCCAGGACACACCTTCTCCTTGTCCCCTATTCCTTTCTCTTTCTTCTTTCTCTCTCTCTCTTCTCCTACCTCTAGCTGCTCCTTCTCATCCTCCTGATTTCTCATCACCCAGATTTCTAAATCTTGGTAGACCCCAGGACTCAGTGCTTATATACCTCTTCTCTAACTATTCTCTCTTACTAGGTGGTTTTATCCAGTTTGATAACTTTAACAGCAATCTTAGATCCCTGTACTGGCCAGCAGCCAAAAAATAAGATAAAGTAAAATAATAGAATAAAATATGGGCCAGCCCGTGGCTCACTCGGGAGAGTGTGGTGCTGATAACACCAAGACCCGGGTTCGGATCCCATATAGGGATGGCCAGTTAGCTCACTGGGTGAGCGTGGTGCTGACAACACCAAGCCAAGGGTTAAGATCCCCTTACCGGTCATCTTTAAAAAAAAAATAATAATAATAATAGAATAAAATAAAATATAGCAATCTTGGGCACTGCTGATTAGCTTAGTTGGTTAGAGTTGTAACACCAACTTCAAAGGTTCAGATCTCTGAACTTGGCCAGCTGTCAGAAAAAAGCAATCTATGTGCTGATGTTTCATTATTTTATATATCTAGTCTACCCCTTGCTTTTGAACTTCAGACTCATTCAACTGTCTATTAAACATATCCACTGAGTCATCTAGAAGGCCTCCCCATCTCCAAATGTAAACTCCTGATGTCAGGGCCAGCCCGTGGCTCACTCAGGAGACTGTGGTGCTACTAACACCAGGGCCACGGGTTTGGATCCTACGTAGGGGTGACCAGTTGGCTCACTGGCTGAGCGTGGTGCTGACAGCACCAAGCCAAGGGTTAAGATCCCCTTACTGGTCATCTTTTAAGGAAAAAAAAAAAAAAACTCCTGATGTCCTCCCCCAAACCTACTTTTCCTGCCAATCTTCCCCATCTCAGTACATGGCAAATCCTTCCTTTCAGTTGCTTATACCAAAAACCATGTTTTTGGTGGCTGACTGTTAAGGGGATCCAAACCCTCAACCTTATTATCAGCACCACGCTCTACCCAAATGAGCAGTGGGCCAGCCTGAAAATCATTCTTCAGTCCTCTTTTTTGCTTATATCCCGTATACTATCTGTTAGGAAATCCTGTCAGCTCTATCTTCAAAATATATCTAGAGACTGTCTATGTCTTACACCTGTTCCGTGTTGCTTTTGTTGCTCTGCCCCCCACGGATTTGTCACCCCACTTCCCCTGAGTGATGGAGATGCAAAGGATTACTCAAAGCCCATCTCTTCTGAGCAGTGAGAGGCCCCGAAGCGGTTAACTTCCCTTGGGAATGCTCCAGTGAGAGGCATCCCTTCCTTGGGAAATTAACCCCCAATTGGGGTTCTCTTCCTGCATTTATTTTCCAGACCAGGAAGGCACAGGAAGAGGCACAGGTGGGGTTATAGTTTAACAATATAGGCTGGTAACTTTCAGTGAAACAAGCCAGATGACATTATAGTAAGACTATCAACAAAAGCTTGATCTTAGCAAACATTCCTTCTTATAGCAATTTCTCAGTATCTTTACATAACAATCAGTAACTAGTCTAGCCTTGAGCCAGCAACCTTGCCATGCCACAAATCTTTATCTTGCACCAGAGACTTTATAGCCTGAGGAAAATTTCCAGTCCTCCGCAAGGTCAATATTTGAAACTGCCAGGCTTTGGAAAACCAGGCTCTGTGAAGTACATATGCTTTATAGTATATTCCACAGTTCCATTACTGCCATCCTGGTCCCAGCCCTGTCATTACCCACTTGGTTCTTTACCATATCCTCCTATCTGGTTTTCCAGGTTACACCTTTGTTCCATTAAAACAAAAGGTGTTCCCTTAAAACGAAGGTGTTCTATTCTTTTTTGGCAGCTGGCCAGTGTAGGGATTGAATCCTGGACCTTCACGTTATCAGCACCATGCTGTAACCAATTGAGCAAACCATACAGCCCCTTAGAATCTATTCACACAGCAGCTAGAGGGATCATTTTAAACCAAGCATG